AGCCATTTCAAGCCTAATTTTACTACGGACTTCCAAATAAAATTTCGATCACGCTCCTAAGTCCAAAATCATCATACGGAGCTATTGGAATCATAAAAATTCTATTCCGGGGTCGTTTGCACATAATTCGACATCCGGTCACTATTTGAACTTAAACTTTTAATTTTTCATCAAAATTCCATATCTTGGGCTAGGGACCTCGGAATTTGATTTCGGGCATACGCCCAAGTCCCAAATCATGATACAGACCTACTGAAACTGTCAAAATACTGATTCGAGTCCGTTTGCTCAAAATATTGACCAAAGTCAACTTAGCTGAGTTTTAAAACTCTAATTCACATTTTAATCCATTTTTCACATAAAAACTTTTCAAAAAAATTTTACGGACTACGCACGTAAGTCGAGGAATGATAAATAGTGCTTTTTGAGGTCTTAGAACATAAAATTAATTATTAAATTTAAAGATGACATTTTGGGTCATCATATTCTCCACCTCTAAAACAAACGTTCGTCCTCGAACGGGTTTAGAATTATACCTGAAGTGCTGAATAAGTGTGGATATATGCTCCGTATGTTTTTCTCGGCCTCCCAAGTCGCTTCCTCGACTGGTTGGCCCCTCCACTGGACTTTTACTGCAGAAATCCTCTTGTACCTCAACTGGCGAACCTGTTTATCAACAATGGCAATTGGCTCTTCTTCATAACCCAAGCTATTATCTAGTTGAACTGTGCTGAAGTCTAACACATGTGATAGGTCGGCATGATACTTCCGGAGCATAGATACATGGAAAACCGGATGAACTCCCGATAGGCTGGGAGGCAATGCAAGCTTATAAGGAACCTCCCCAACTCGTCTCAATACCTCAAATGGGCCTATAAACCTTGAGCACAATTTCCCTTTTTTCCCAAATCTCATGATTCCCTTCATCGGCGAAACCTTCAAAAGAACTTTTTCACCTACCATAAATGATAAATCACGTGCTTTCTGATCCGCGTAACTCTTCTGTCTGGACTGCACTGTACAAAGTCGCTTCTGAATCAACTTTACCTTTTCCAAGGCATCCTTCACCAAATCAGTACCATATAACTTAGCCTCACCGGGCTCAAACCACCCGATGGGCGAACGACATCGCCGACCATTTAAAGCCTCAAATGGAGCCATCTCGATGCTGGATTGGTAACTGTTATTATAAGCAAACTCGGCCAAAGGCAAGAAAGAATCATTAGTGGTATTGACTCTTACTAACCATTTTTTGTCTCTTTCTCACACTTTATATTCTTAAATATTTTCTTAGTTGTTGTTTAATAATTGAGTATTTTTCAATATTACATGAAAAATTTAATAAAAAAATATTATTTGAGTAGGAAAATAGTTCAAATATAATATAAAAATATATTATCGTGGGGGTATTTTTTTTTTCTCAATTTCAACTCTTTATGCAGTCCATTTAATATAACCTTTTTTTTTTGTATTGGACATTATGGAGAGGTAATGTATTGCCAATACGGAGGATTCTTATAAAATTAATTTTATTAAACCTTCCTACATATTTTTAATAAGAATTTAATAGACAAAATTTTATTAAATTTAAAATATTAAATATTAAAAATTGGCAAAGAAGGTATTGTAGTCCAAAAAATAGGTTGTTGCAGTTATGTACTTTTCCTATGAGTTATTCTGCTTAATATTTTAGGGCTATTTGGGTATATTAGTATTATATTTATGCTTTTATAATAACTAGTCTCTATGTTCGTGCCTTACACGAGTATTTTGAATCCGAGAGTCAAAATCTCTAAGACCTTAAATCAGCCAATTTAGTGCAAGAGGATTATGATTTGTGGTTTAGTGCAGAGGAATATGATCGGTCAAAATCTCTAAGTCTGATTTTGCTAAGGTTTCACACTAAATTGTTTGATTTAGGAATATGAGCTATTGTTTAAAAATGCTCAAAGAGTTTAAATCAGACATCAAAATCTATGAATATTCATATATGTTTGATCTATGGTATGATGTTGTATTGATTGTATAGAGCACTTCATAAGCTTTTATGGCTTTATGCTAGACCCTAATCAAAGGATTTTTATTTTCATCTGTCAAACGCATTATTCACTACTGATATATTGTTACTTTTCTCAAGGATATTAAACCAAATATTATAAAGAAATAGAAACAGTCGGTTTTCAAAAAATAAAGAAACCAAATATCCGTTTGGAACCATACGTAATCTACCTTTTTAAAGCTTAAAATCAATTTCAACAAAAATCTAAACTTCGACGATATAACTGCTACTCCTCGACAACAAAGTAACTCATCGAAACACGCGCATCAACTTAGAGATTTTTTAAAAAAGTTGTATGACAACTTATTGATTGCTCCCAGAAAGAAGTCTGTGAAGTGTTGGTCTTGACTTTATGGGTAATGGTAGGGATTGCCTTCTTCGGCGATATGGATATAGTTAATTAAGTGATGTACTTGTAATGTAATTAGAAGTCTTATCATAATCAATTTCGATCGGACTAAATTTGAATTTAAGTTGACACAATTTTAGTTGAATTCAAGGTAGTCTAAATATTACAATTTTATCTGGTGGTGAATTAACTTCTTAAGAAAATTGTTTATTTTTAAAGGGCATAAAAGACGATCAATATTTCAAGAATATTTTCGTTGCTCAACATTTAACGTGAAATATTCGTGCTTATATATATAGAGAGAGAGAGAGAAAATATAGATAATAATAATCTCTATGCTCGTGTGTTACACAAATATTTTATTTCAAATATTACAAACACGTACCATAAATAAATGTTAGAGTTAGATAATGAGTTGCTTAAAATAAAAGTTATATATTTGTAATGCAAACCAAATCCTAATAACGTTGTGATAATCATCACAAAATGGAACTAAATATTTTAAAATTACACAATGATACGAATAAATTTATACATTGAATAAAGAATGCAACAATGTTTTATACACGTTGTTTATCAAATGACAAGTATAGTATAAATATATTAGAAGTTTATCCAATTCATAATGATTTCCAATGTTACCAATTTGTAGTTGTATTAGAAGTTTTAGATATTGGTAGAGTAGGAATTTGTTGTCGGATATGGAGTTTTAATCCGGAAAGAATTTCATTCTTGGGGTAATATTTGGAATATTACAATTAAATGCATCTTTAACTCAAAATTTTAAGGGCATAAAAATCTATCAAAGTTTTGAGGATATTTTAGTCCTTTAACATTTAACATAAATTATTCGTGTACATGTATTGCACGTAAATATTTAATCAACTAAAGAACGACTAAAATATTTCAAAATAATATTATTCTCTATTTCAGAATATTTTAGTTAAAATAACTAAAATATTTTAGTCGTTCTTTATTCATCGGTAGACATGAGAAATATTCTATAAACAAATATTATCCTTTTCCAGATCTAACTCCACATCACATAAAACTAAAAGATTTTAACATTAAGAAATAAGGGAACAAAAAAGAAAGCAAAACAAATCATGTTAGGAAAATTATCTTTGGTTTGCAAATAGAAAGAGAAGCTTTTGACATGCTTATAACCAACATATAAAGTACCTATCCGTCTGGAACTTACCCGGCTAGAGGTCCATGCGGCTATACACTCGTGAGAGTATTTACGGCAAAAAAGGCACGGTAAATTTTTTTTTTATAACAGTAAGGTGTGGTTCGAGGTATTCTTATTTATGTGGGACTTGTATGGAAGTAGGATGCCTGATTGGTATAAGAATTCAATGCAAAATTTATTACGGTGAGGTTTTTGACGTTAGAATTTTAGTTTAGATTGGAAAAGAATTCTAGCCTTGGATAATTTACAATTAAGTCCTTAAATTATACAAATATTTAAGGACATAAAAGTTGATTAATATTTCAGGAATATTTTAGTCGTTCAACATTTAACAAATAGGTTCTCCTTTTTCTAAATGGATTTGGACAATATAATACATTCTCAAATTAAATTAGTAGTAGGGCATTATAATATGTTTTCGAATTAAATTAGTAATAGAAATTTTTAAGAAGTATATTCTAAAAGCAATAGGATTACATGACTAAAGATATTTACTTGTTCAATTTTATATGAATTAGACAGTCCGATAGTAATTATACTAATAGGATTCCTAAAGGTAATCACGTCCTAACATGTAGTATTATGTCCTAAAACTAAAGTAGGATTTTAAGGCTAATATCTAGAATTTCAGTTATGTCCTTTTATTATGAGTTATTATACTTAATATTACAAAGAAATTTTTTAAATCGATATTGTATTCATTCTTTTATAATAATATAGATTAGTGAGCTAAACAGTATAATTTTCGACGAACGGGTGTGACACCCCTTGGGCTGCTCTTTACATATGATATCTTTTACGACTTGAAAGTCAAATGGAAAATTAGGCGCATTGATGTCATGTTTCGCATCCCATCAGTAATTTAATTTATTTTTGGATTCAATTGAACTAGTCGAGTATACGCTATATCCGCCCGGCCAACGGAGTACTTTCGGATGTGATCTATTCAAATGATAATCTGATTAGATTATAATAATTTTACAATTTACTCGTCCTCAATCTTGGTAATCGGAGTGAAGTGTCAGCGTAAGTGGTCTGCTAGCAAACGTACAAAGTGTATTGCAATTTGACTATCCCTTTCCTTTTCATTCGGTTTGAGTTGATCCAGACTTAGAATAAAAAGAAATAAAATCATTTGAGAATATTTTGCCTTATACATTTGTACAAAGATAGACCGACTTTGGAGGCGGAGCACAAACATGAAAAGAAACAATTTTTTTTTCTCCTCAAGACATTGTTTTTTAAGCTACGTACTTTTTGAATGTATATTTGTGGACGCACATTTTTGACACTCAAGAAATGGAAACCTTGATGTAACGGTAAAAATTGTATCACGCGGCCAGGAGGGTCACGGGGAAACTTAAGGTCACCCAAATGAATTTTTTATTTGACACCCGAAAGGCAAAATTTCAAAAGAAAAAGAGAGAAAAGGAGACATTGTTTAATTCCCATACATGTTAATTTATTACAAAGCAAAATAGACATGGATGAACAATAATAGTAGTAGTACGTTAGTAGAAAAAGTTTGTAATACAAGAAACTAGGCTAGGATAGCTGAAGGGGAAGATGTAAACAAATTATACTTGATCCTCTGATGGTATTGAGCATCAATGTAATCTTCTTCTCACTGTAACTTCAGATTCTTCATAAGCCTGTTTAGTAAAATAATAGTATTAAAAACGAGTAATGTAAAAGATTTTTTCTGCTATTCGATTACTTAAAAAATAACTACAACTTAAATAAGGCAGACAACATGCTTATAAGAGGTTAGTAACATTGATAGTGTAAAGTTTTTTTTTACATTGTGAGTATGTACAAGATTGATATTGTAGTATACTAGTATCAATTATTGCTTATAGAATGCTTAAACTATCTTATAGCTAGCTAGAGCAGAAACTTGGGATTGCTGAAGAGCCATGAAAGAATGTGAGGAACTCATAAAGTATGTTATGATACTTATCGAGACAAGATACGTACAATTGTTAAACAACTTTTGTTTAGTATAATGAGGTGATGAGAGGTTAAGATGTAGGACAATATGCATGTGCTGTTAAACAAGTGGGATTAGATTTCACGTGGTTTACTTAGGAGCTTAAACAAGTAGGATTAGATTTCATGTGGGGTTGCTTAAGAGCTTAAATAAGCAACATGCACAGCTTCCTAAGATAGTAAAAATCAAACAATTTGGTAGTTTCAAGTATTTTTTTATTTTTTAAAATATATGTCTTCTAATTTGTGTGTATATCTATATATTATTAGGAGGGAATCTTATGAATACACTTGCCTTAATTAAACCTAGTCGGCAAGAAAACCCACCACAAAGAAAGCCTCAGAATTCCATAAATTTATCCGTTTATCAAGTGTATCATAACCGTTAGCATACAAACAGTGCCAAAAACACTATTAGGTTACCTAAAGAATTCTACCTGACCGTCTTTTGCCATAATAAGGGATTAATAAACTAAAAAATAATGCGAGTAACCTACTACAACGTATCATAATGAGGAATTATTAAATTCAAAATTAATGCAGGTAATAACCTACTGCAATGTGTTAAGATACATTAACAGTGTATAAGGTAAATTCTATCATGGGGAGGAAACAGATAGACAATAACATCGTTGGCAGGAGGATACTACAGTACACTTAGCCTTAAAAATAGGAAATATGTATCAAAATGAAAATATGTTGCTCGGACCCTCCAAAAATGATGGCATCCTCCAAAAGTATAGTTTTGGGAGGACCCAACCGACCATATTTTTGAAGAGTCTGAGCGACATAGGTAATTTGTATGAAAAGCAATGAGTTATAGTACTATACCTTTGTTCATTAGCATAACCTCTGCCATCGCTTCCAGCAGTTCTGTAATTGGGCAAAGGTACTTGATCATTTTCTATCTGCATGATATCCTTTACAAGCAGTTCATAATGCCTTCTCACTTCCTCTGCTGATTTTCCACCTACACACCTTGCAATATTATTCCAGCGATCAGAAGTGTCTTTGTCATATAAAGCCAATGCCTCCTCGAATTTCTTGTTCTGTTTTGCTGTCCAAGTAGCCATTGCAGAATAATATTATTTGAGCTAATAATTTATGTAGTGACTTGTGATCAAGAATATGGCTAGAGGATGAGTGCAATGAAAGATTGTAACCCAGACAAGGAGAACAAGTTTTGGAGGAAAGTGAAGATTTAATTTGCCTCAGTAGAAAGAATAGGATTAAGCCAAGAGGATTGTATTGACAAGAGATTGCTAAGCTAGGTTACTTATAAACTGGAGGAGCAGAAGGTGTTGGGGTGTAGCAAGTTGGCGAATAACATATGGGGTTTTGGTGGAATGGTTGAGATTCCTTCTCCCTAAATTAAAAGTCTTGCATTCGACCTTTGGGAATAAAAATTCTTGGTAGGGAGTTTTACACTCTTAGTTGGCCTATTTGGTGCGAATTCGAATTAGTCGGTCCAACCAGTGGCGAAGGTTCGATGGAATCTCTTTTGTTCGAAAATTATACTGTGCATGTAACGTAAAAATAAAAATTATTTCTATATATATATAATTGTATTTTTTGAATCACCGTATTAGGAATCCTGGTTTCTCGATTGGTCCAATGAGTTTAGAATACCGAATTCCTGAAATAAAAATATGTTGGGGAATATCTTTTCATTTTCTTGGAGAGGAGTTACACATTAATGTGATTCTTGTCTTAAGAGCCACAATCTGAAATGAGGCTAATCGGAAGATGTGGAGGGAAAATAAGATAATATTAATGTATGTACAGACAGACTTTAAATTTAATTCTTGTAAAGTCCCTGGTCTTGCTTTTTATAATATCATCAGCAAGTGGATCACCTAGCTGGAGAGGATTAGATTTCCCTAATTCTAATTCTAATTCTAATTCTAATAGCTAAGATTTACGCGCTACATCAATTAAATCATAGTCTATTAGAAAATCCATCCAGATTTTGCGGCCATCTTTATGGTTAGAAAATGTTGCTTGTTATCCACATCAAGTTGGAATACCATGTATTACCCTTCACTTGTAGCTCCTTTTTTGACAATTGGGTACAATGTTTAGAACTAGTGTTGTTTATTTTGATTTTTGAACATTAGATTAATACTCTCTCATAAATGACAAGTAAATGTAGGCCCAACCAAGATTTATTTCTTCGGAGTGCCAAAGGCAAGCATCACATCATTATGAATATAAAGTCCAAAAATTTATCAAAATAATGAACCACCACTGATATTATCAACACATGATCTGTGATCGCCAAATCGGTAGTTCCTCAATTTAGTATGCACTTCTATCTCTTAAGGGGCTTATGCACTCCACTCGTTGTCTATTAAATAATCGTTAGAGTTTGATCACGCCCAACTCTAGTCCTAACAAGGATAAGTGGTCGTTGCAAATATAATCCGGTCTAAAAGTTCGGAGTCAAATCCCACAGAGAACTAAGGTTCAGCTACAACTCTTCACTTTCACTAGGAATACAAGTTTGAACAATTTCTAAATTATAAATATTAAGATTCTTATATATAACTAACAAATTAAAGTAGTAGATTAACAATTAAAGATACTAGGGGTTGGAGAAAAGATTAAGGAGGTCTCGAGTTATGATTTTTCCAATTGTCAAAATCCTTCCCCCTACGTCTTTTATAATTTCGCTCAAGTATTCTCTACCGATCGTGAGTACTTTGGGTGTCGTAGCTCTCTCTCGAGCAACCACCACAATTCACTATACGTATTCTCTCGAATTACGCTAGCTGACACTAATTCACCGCTCACTACGATCACACCAAGGTTTCGTTATCTTTAATCCCGCTTTTAAATCCTCCATATTGATCTCCCGCATACGTCAGGAGTGATGTTGTTCGACAACTACCTAAATATGTACCTTCTCTCTAGTAATACACACTAAATAGGCACATTCAATTGATGGCCATTCAATCAACAACAATAATTAAATATGTAATTGAACAAGTAGAGAAATCCAACGGCTCAATTATATGAAAACGTAATAAGAATTCATCCTACAAAAGGTTCCATCAAAATCCTAGATAACAAATTAGCTATTCATAATAGTATGCAAAATTACAATACAAGAATTCATAATCGATAATGGAAATAGGAAGAAGAAAGTGAAAAACTCGTAGAAGAATTCTCCGCCTTGCTCCTAGTTGTTCTCGCCTCCTTGGGTCGAATCCCCTCTCCAAAAATGTCTCCCCTCCTTTAGACATGTTTAGGGCATATTTAAAGGCTAGGGTTGAAGTCCTTGAGTCCAAATCCGGGTCGGAGTCTTTTAATTCGCGAACTTTTGACTATCGGGCTACAGACCTCACAAGGCCAGTATTATAGCGCGGTCAAGCTAGCTACGCCTAGCCTTTAGCACGGCCAAGCTGGCTACGCCTGGCTTGTAGCTAGGCTTGAGTACTTCGTGCTTTTTTGCTATTTTCTCGAATTTTTGTCCTCCTTTTGTGCAACTTTCACTCGTCTTGGTCTTGTGATGCTCCTACACATAAAATATCATAATTTAGCTCAAACGTCGTACAATTAACTACTAAAATAATAATATGTAAGGCGAGTAATGTATTAAAAATATAGCATTTTGGCCAAATATCAGAGTTAATCATACTTTCTAACCTATCTCTATTTGTTTTTTGAAAGTTTTCTTCAACGTGGTTAGAAGAGAAATGATAAAAGATTTCTAAGTAAATTCTTTTATCCAAAATTAACATCATTCTGCAACAACTAGTTAGGGTAGACTGACATATTCATATATATGTACCAGTTGATATTTTATACTTCAATGCCACACAAGAGAGGATGATTTGTATGGTGTCCAATTTTTGCGTGCACTGATTATAGAAGGGCCTGGTTCTTCTAAGTGTTCCTTATACTACTGTTGCAAAAATAGTAAATGCAGAAAGTAAAGAACACAAGTATTTTTACGTGCAAAATACCCGGCCCAAAAGGTGAAAAAATCACGACCTACTACTCAGTAGGATTTTTCCCAACACTTCACTAAATCACTGAGCCAAAACAGCATTTACAAAACTCTTTGTAAACCTAAGGATTAACTCTAATCCAGTTGTGGCAGCCAGACTCTAACTATTGCGACTTCAAGTTAACTCTAACTTGAATACTCAGAGTACCTAATACAATTACTTCTAGATAAAGCTGAAAGGTATAAATTGAAAACACTTACTACAATTGAACTAGAATAAAAGACAGACACTTGGAACTGGTTCTTCTATCTAGTTCATGTAGCTTTGGGTTCGCAAACTTGAATCACACAAGAATTGCTTGCAAAATGCCTTGCCATTTTGCTCTTAACTCACGTTTAACTTCAGCGTTTGTGCATGCGTACTTGTAAAATGAGAACATGCTGCAATATATATAGTTAGTAGAATAATAAATAACTAGAGTTCTAATGCTACTCTTCCTTGGTGGAAGAGTTCTAGTTATCTTAAACTTCTAACTCCTCCCTTATCTTGGATAAAGTTCTCTTCGAGTAAGGAGTCCTTCTCCTTATCATTTATGCAACCTTTTCAATCATGAGATATCAGATATAACAACTTAAGCTTATCTCCTTCACGTGCATCCCTTATGCTCGAATCCGCCCTTGTTTGTGTACACTGTGTATGGACCTGGTTCATGGTGGAGTTCCTTTGTCAATCATCAAAACAAACTTCACTTGGATTAATAAATTCCGCCTTTTTTTATGATGACAAATTCTGTGCTTTTCATAAGCATAGGCCCTATGTCAACTTAGCTCAACATCAATACAATGTTAGAACACTTTCCATTTTAAGGTCACAAGTCATCATAGACCAGGTTCATTAGATTATAAACATCATAGTCCAAAGTAAAAGCACAACCTATCTTTTCCCTTTTGGCCTCATCGAAAAGTTGCATAGAAATTATGTTAGATAACCAGATTTTAATAGAAATCACTCATGGCCACTGGGGCTACTTCAAATACAATCATGGAATCAAGTATCATTTATCAATCTAATGATATTAGCCATATAAGAAGCATCAACAAACATTTAGAGCACAAAAATAGTTTATTATAATTGATACTTATCATACCATGAAAGTTTAGGAGAGGGTGGTTGAAGCGAGGGTGAGGAGGACAGTGTCTATATCCGACAACCAGTTCGGGTTCATGTCGGGTCGTTCTACTACGGAAGCTATACACCTTATTAGGAGGTTGGTGGAACGGTACAGGGAGAAGAAGAAGGATCTGCACATGGTGTTTATTGATTTAGATAAAGTGTACGACAAGGTTCCTAGAGAAGTTCTCTTGAGATTCTTAGAGGCAAAAGGCATGTCGGGTGCCTACATTTGGGCAATTAAGGACATGCATGATGGGGCTAAGACTCGGGTTAACATACTATATTCTTATTTTCCCTGGTGAGGGACACGTTAACACACCATATTCAAGGGGAGGTACCATAGTGTATGTTATTCTCCGATGACATAGTTCTGATTGATGAGTCGCGAACCAATGTTAACGAGAGGTTGGAGTTCTGGAGACAGGTCCTTGAGTCTAAGGGTTTCAAGCTGATCAGGACGAAGACGGAATACCTGGAGTGTAAGTTCAGCACGGAGCTGAGGGAAGTGGGTGTAGAAGTGAGGCTTGAATCACAGGTCATACCAAATAGTGGCAATTTCAAGTACCTTGGGTCGGATATCTAGAGGGGAGGGGAGATTGATGAGAATGTCACACACCGTATTGGGGTGGGGTGGATGAAGTGGAGGTTAGCATCTGGAGTCTTGTGTGATAAGAGAGTGCCTCCGATACTCAAATGTAAGTTTTACAAAGCGGTGGTTAGACCGGCCATGATGTATGGGGTTGAGTGTTGACTTGTTAAGAACTCACATATCCAGAAGATGAAAGTAGCAGATATGAAGATGTTGAGGTGGATGTGCAGACACACTAGGATGGATAAGATTAGGAATGAATATATTCGGGAGAAGGTGAGCGTGGCACCCATTGATGACAAGATGCGGGAAACGAGGCTCAGATGGTCCAGACACGTACAAAGGAGAAGCCCAAATACTCCGGTAAGGAGGTGTGAGAGGCTGGCTTTGGAGGGCACAAGAAAAGGTAGATGATGGCCTAAGAAGTATTGGGGAGAGGTGATCAGGCAGGACATGGAGAGGCTTCAGATTTTCGAGGACATGGCTCTTGATAGGAAGTTGTGGAGGTCGAGTATTAGGGTTGTAGGTTAGGAGGTAGTTGAGTCTCCCTTACTTCGTACCTTTGTGAGCCTAGTCTGGTAGGGTTTTTGTCGATGTCAGCTAGTGGCATTGTTGTGTCTTACTACTCATTTATTTACCATAGTGTCGGGTCTATGTATTGTCTATCGTGTTTACTTTGCATCTGCTTTCTCA